CAACATCTAAGTTAAGGGAGCATGAGGAATACTGCTTCTACCCTTATTTTGATTTATTTGCTGTGTGCGCTGTCACTTAGTAGCACAGGAAGTAGAGCGGCAACACTCGGCAGAGGGATGAATGAAATTGCTTGGGTAAAAAAAAGATCAGTAGCCCTCAACCAGTGCCCACTCAGCCAGTTGAAAACTGCAGAGAAGATGTGACACAAAAATGTCATTAACTCCATGGAGAATCCAGTTAGTCTCTTGATGAGCAGACTGGATCTTCCAGCACTTTCCCAAGTTATTTTTTTGTTTGTTTCCTGACAGATGATTGTTAATTTCTAGACATGCCTTTGTACATGCATTTGTACAAGCTTTATTGCAAGTGTATTCCAAAACTCTGAATTCCACAACTCTCTGGTGCCACAGGCTGGAGATGGAGTTCAACTTCATCTAAACCACAAGATGGAGGTGCATCTAACTCAGCATGCAACCAAAAGGACCATCTGTGTACTCTTCCTTTCACATTACAGTTAATGTATTTATATCCTTTTTCTTTCTTGTTCAGCATTAAAAAGTGCATCACTGGACAAACTGGGAAGATCAGAGGTTTTACTATCTGAGTGCAACACCTAGCAAGGCACAACAGAAAGCTTGTTCTTCATCCTCAGGTGAAGAAAAGCCATTATTTCAGGATTTCTGCACATGAAGTCCCAGTATACAAGACTAAAAAGCACAGTAAACAATTCAGACTGTCTTCCTGTAGCAAAAGACTTCCATGCATATGCTTCTGTTGGAATGGAAGGACACCTCTCATAAGAAAATTTCACCTTCAGCTCTGTTAGTGCTAATCCACCATAACCCTTTGTACGTTTTAATGGTAGTAACTCCATTTGTTTCCAGAAAATGTTTTTTGCCATAAAGGTAAAAATTAGGCTGATAGAGCAACATGATATATAGGTTTATGCCTCATCTATAAACAGCTGTTACTTTTAAGTTGTAAGCAATTCATAGCCAACTTTTCAATTTCTTTTGTGACTTTTTTGTTTTAAAGAATAAAAACATAAAGGACATGAGCCTATTCTACCAATTCATAAAGTGGCACTTTCCTTCCCAAGGGAGAGAAAAATACCTTCTTCAAAACACAGCACAAAATTCTGCCAGAGCACAGAGCCCAGGTGAGGCAATCAAGCCTGTAAATCATTGCAAAATGTATTGGTTTACTGCTGTTTTGCATTAGATGCTTCTTATTTGATGCAGTAATTGTATATACTTTGAATATTGGTTATAAGTACCACATCTGAAAAACACAGGACGAGATTAAAGCAACAGTGTCTAGCAGAATTTATTTTGCATATTAAATAAAAATCAAAACCTACCAGGCAGCCTCTGTCTGTCTGAGTGGTAGGCATGCTTATAATAGGAATATTTCCATGCCTCTTACCAGGCAAGAGATCGTACAATTTATACATCACGGGTATGGAGAATATAATTGTTACACATGTCAAGCCATGGGGACCACAAAGGACATGCCTTAAGCAGCAGACCCAGAAGTTGAACCTGATGAGCTCTTGCATAGCTTGGAGCCTTGTTGTCCAAGGGCTCAGCAGGTTTCCCAGTGAAGACCCCAGATCTTCCCACACACCCAGCAGTCAGATCCATTATAATCATCTTTCCACCCCTCATGGGTTATGCATTGTAAGGAGAAAATATATTTCATCATGACTTTTCCAAATTCACTTGGATTTGCCCTGAACTTGAAGAAAAACACAGTCCAAAGGACAGGCTTTTCTTCAACCCGTTTAATTAAAATCCTAGCACAGCTCAATAAATGATTAGAGTTTATCACTTGAACTCTGGTGCCTGAAACATGTCCCAGGAGAGGAAGCAGTCTGGACTGGCTGGGGACTAGTCTATGGAGGCGGCAGCACCCAGAGGATCCCTATCTCCTTTCCCCCAGTTCCCTAGTGAAAATCAGGGATAACTGAAAAAGCAGTTCCTCTAAGAGACGCCTTTGTTGCTTTCTTTTTCCTGACAAGAACTGTGACTGAGTTTTCATCTGAAATCATTGCTCAACTGATTTTAACTTTGCTTTTAAAATAATAAACTTTTTAAAATACTAAAGATGTGCTTTAAAAGAAATAAACAGGGGCCAGTACTACAAATGTTGAGGAAAGTCAACAAGGAATGGAACAAAAATATTTGGAAAATCAAAATAGTAGGATTTTTCATACTGTTGCATCCTGGACTGCTGAAACTGGACAAGAAATAGGACCATGAGACATCTCAGTGGCGTAAATGCTTGGGCCAAGATTATCATCATTTTGAATGAGTGGATCCTGCATAGACAGTTTTACATATCTGAGATTTGCTGTAGTTTCTGAGCCCCACTTCAGCAAGTTATATAAGCCTGTGTCTGATTATATGTGCATTGAAGAGCCTGACTGCATGCAAGAGGCAAAGAGTCAGTCTTTCAAGGAGTTAGAAACTCCTGCACTTTGAACAATGCCTGCAACTAATTGCAGAACTAGTACTGAACCCGTTAAAATGGCAGCTGACAATAGAAAACTAGAAATGTCTTTCAGAAACCTGGACCTGTGATCTATATTTAGCTAGTCATAAATGTTTGCACTGCTCTTTGAATAGGCATTTACTTCATGACTAAATCTTTGTAGTTAACCAGCCATGCTTAGTTATCTTATTTTAATATTAAGCCCCACAATGCAGGGAAGTAACTCAAGTGAACGGTACCAACAGGATTTAAGGAAATGTATTATACTGTTATTACAGAGAAGCAATAAGCAGCATATTCTCATAAGTTTTCTGAATATAATGATTGTTCAAAGAAGATGGATTGAACTGTGATTTTCGTGCATCAAATAATTTTAGATTATTATTTACTTGGAGTTATTTTAAAGTGCTGATACTAAGGGTGTATGAGAGGTAGGAGGGTAGGGATACTAAAAACAATAACAAAAGAGGTGTGTGAGGGGGATGCATACATGTATACATGCATACACAGGTATGTATACTTTATACACATATGTACATTTGCTAAGTATCCATAAGAATTAATCTAAAATACTCAGCAGGGAAGGGATCTGTATACACAACAAGCTGCAGTAATGATATTATTACCTTTGGATTTTGGAACCAAAAAAGTAAGCCAAACATGCATTGGTCTAGTTTGGGTGTCAGTCTAAAACAAGGTATATCGTATGAGTGCCCCACCAGAGAAACCTAGGCAAGCCTGGAGAACAGCATTGTTTGTTCATCCAACCTATGAATGGAACACAAGGGAATAGGTTGTGTGGGAGCACTGAGATCCTATTGATTAATTAAGAACTAATATTCCTCATTTTAAAAAGAACACAAACAAGCTCCCCTTTGCAAGTAGGATATTTGTGAATTATTTTGCCATTCCTTGAATTAACAGGCAGCCACATAATTCTGGAAACAGACAAAACAAGGTATCAGCCATAGCAGCCTGGATTTTGGTACAGTTCCACCTCACTTTTAGATCCTCTAACTGGCTCTTGTAGATAGATTTTGACCAATAAAAGCCCAGTTCCTGAGGCCCTTCAGCATGGAGGTGGGACTTGTATGCACAGCATCAAGTATTTGCCATTCACAGTTAATTCGGCCACTGTCTCAGTGATGGGTCCAAACCAAAACACAGGGCCCAAGCTGCTCCCAGCCAGATCAAAGTGTCTTCATTTTGCCCCATTGCTTTTAGCTTGGGAGAAGTACAGCTAGATTAGGAATAGCTACTTTCCTGTTTAAATGCTATTTAAGGAATAAATACTTGAAGTCTGCAAATGTAAATATAAAAGAAAAAGGAGAAAGAAAAAAGAAAAACACAAAAAAGAAAAAGAAAAATGAAAAAAAAAGAAAAAGAAAAAAGAAAAAAGAAAAAGAAAAAAGAAAAAAGGAAAAGAAATTAAAAGAAATGAAAATTAATGCATTTTTTAGGGAAGCGACAGGCCTACAGTAATTGGTACTTGGATCTAATATCTAAATACTGCTCCCAGAAAAAAAAAGTCAATGGTCCTCTTAGAAATGGGATTGCACCCAGAGTAATGTGTGATAGTTCTAGGCTAAACGTAATCTACAGCCATCTTGTGAAGCTTACTAGGCAAATGGAGACCCTTCTCCACTTTCTACAGTACAGTCATTCTGAATAAGAAATAAGTTCATCCAGTGAGTCAGTCATCCCTTGTCTCACTTTGCAAAACCTTGCATAACCCAACTTCTCTTACAGTATTCAGGAGTATTGAATGCCTCATCACCTACATTTGAGTTCCCCTGTGGTCTACTGGTCTCAGCACTCTGAAACTGGTGATCATTTATACCACAAAACAAACACCTTCTGCAAATAAGAGGCAGACACTGAGCACATAAAGGCCAGAAACTGAAAAATGAATCTGGTGTTCGGTTTAGCACGCAGAAAATGTTCAAGTCTTCAAAGAGAAAAGGTCTATTTACCAGAATAATCAACCAATTCAGATGGAAAATCATAGGAAAGGGAGGACATACACATAATGCTGCAAAATGCTTCACTGTTCGTAGCTGCAGCTCTCTCTGATCAGGCTCTCTGCAGCAAGTTTCTGGGGCCACCAGCTTTCTACTTGTCCATCTCCACAAGCCATAGTGAATAACCACAAGTCTGGTGGGACTTTTCACACAAGAAACAGGGTGGCAACTTAGAAACCATCAGTCAGAAATAAAAACATATTTGGGAGTCCTTACTTAGACAAATATCCCACCAGAGCCACAGCAGCCATGGACAAGGACCCTCCACAGATAATTTCTTTCACTATCAGCCAGCACTGGGATATTTGTGTACAAATTTTCCTTATTTCGCACTATGCTTTCTTTTCCTGTCTCTTCTGCCTTTTGGGTCACCCCTTAGGATATTTTTGTTGACATCAGTGTGAAACTTCAGGTTAATTCAAGTTAACAGGATACACACAAGGAGCTGGCACATGGAGCTGGAGCCTGGTGCAAGGATTACTCACCTTCCACTACCACTGTTGCAGGTTTTGAATAAGTTGTGCCCAGGCTGTTCTTGGCTACACATCGATATTGTCCTGCATCTTCTCTTTGAACGTTGTGGATCCTTAAATTCCCCGAATCGAGGACAGCAATGCGAGCATTCTCCTGTTGGAGGAAGGAGCAATCAAGGTAGGGCTCTACATGCAGACTGCACACAAGCAGCACCAAATGTCCACTGACAGACTGCACTTACAAGCATGAAAATCGTTTGTGTTGTCCTACATCTGAAGGATCTGGAGCAAGCTCTTCCTGCTCAGCTGTGTAATGACACACTCACCCATTCCTCATTTTGCAGATCAGTGAATTACATCTTCCAAAGAGCCTGAATCTTAGCTAAGTGGCTCAGTAGCTCTCATTTAAGAGAATACTCACAAATTTAGCAGCATTTGGCCACGCTTAGTAGTAATAAATACATGTCATATAAAATATAGATACACAGAGAATGTTTGGTTTATAGGTAGAATTATTGCGAATGCAGACATTTATGAGATGAACCATGGATTCCTCAAATGCTTGCTTCTTAGCAACTAGAATTTACAAATGCTGTAATTGATGCTCATATTTTAACACAGTACCATTAGTGAATAGTTAGCATTACTTAAATTTCATTCTGTACTCACCTTTACAGCTGTTTCTCCTTTGATCCATGAAACAAAAGGTTTTGGGTTCCCCATTGTAGTACAAGGAAGAACAGCCTTTAACCCTTCTATTATTTCTACATTTACAGGTGGTCGGGTTATTTTGGGTCCTAAATATTTAGAAGTAAAAAATCAAAAACGAAAACAAATGAAGTCAAACTGAGGGTAAGAGATACAAGAACAGGACAAGTTCAGAAATTACAAAAAATCTCTGCTGCTTTTTAATTTTCATTGCTAAAAATAGTCTTAGTAGACTAAGAAGCAGTCTTAGTAAGTCATGAGCTGTCTTGGAAAGAAAAAACTTCCTTAAGCACAGTGTTCAGCTTTTCAGTTTAAGGGCACAAATGCAGCACAAAACTTTCATGGGTTTTTGTTTTCACAAATGGGAGATTGAAAGCCACTTGAATGAGGGCCTGAGCTAAAATCCAAATCCAGATAAGAGTATTTCCAATATTGAAGAACATTTGCATTCCAGGTTTTGACATTCTTCACTGCATAAACAGTGTCATGTGTGAAAGTTCAGATCTGGAGTGAATCAGTTTTGAAAGAGTTTTAAGCTAGGGTTGTCTCTAGCTTCACAACAAAGGCATGTAAATGCAACTTGTGTCCTTCACTGAAGGGTTTATAGCTGTGCTAGTAAAAAAGAGAAAGCATCCTTAAAGAAAAAAACAATCAAGCTCCTTTAAAGTTAGTATGGGAAAAAAATAAAATCATTTTAGCCAAAGAAAACCATGACTTAGCTTACTCTGAGCTGGGAGTAAAGAAAATCTTCATCTTAGTGTTTTGGGAGATGGGAAGTTTTCCCTCCCTTGTACAATACCAAACTAGCAGAGAAATTACCTTCAGAAAGCATCAACACCTAGCCCCCACCTGCAGGCAACTGGGGTTCTGGAGAGCCCCAGAATTACCAGGCCTGAAGGGTCACTCTCATTAGCACAAACAAATCTTTACCTACAAAACAGACACTTTAGCCAGTAATATCTCAGCTAGCTTTTTCAGTGTTTGTATAAATAACTGTGGCCATGTGAGTTCAGTTTCACCAAGTTCAGCTTGTATATAGTCCTTTGAGAGAACCAGTTCTCTTCCATCCCCATGGGATGATGAGGTTTACACCACAGTGCTCCAGACCTGTCAAGACTGCTATTAAGAACATCTAAACAGCACTTACTTGCTTTTGCCATTCTCAGGAATAAATCTGATTAGTGAAATCTTATGTTTAAAATTCACAAGGGATTTATGCAGTACTGCCACAGAGGTTTAATCTATCAAATTGTGCTGCTTTTACAAAGTTCTGTACAAAGGGTGTTCTTCAAAGCACTGTTTTATATCCTGTGTTATGCAAAGAGTTCCTCTGATCCCAGCACAAGTGTATGTTATTCAAACTGAATAATCATAACTGCTTTTAGTTAATATATGATCAAATATGCCATGTCTCCACCTCAAAGGACCCTACCCAGCCCCAAAGCAACATGGATCTGCCCTGAGCACGGTCCCACAGGAGCCATACCTGGGAGCTTGCTCAGGCTCTCAATTACATTCTCACATGATGACAGAAAGAAATTGCATTCCCACTTACGCATTTTCACTTGGAGAGCTCCACAGCTCTGGGCAGCTGCTCCAACCCCATTATCCGCTGTGCAGCAGTACACCCCATCATCACTGTCCTCCACACTCAAAATGGTCAGAAGCTGCCCGTTCCTCTGTATGCTATACCGGGTGTCGAACAGCCTGCAGGGCACAGAACAAATTGTCAGGGGTAGGGGGACAGCCAGGGATGGAGAGGGGAAATTGCACTTATGTCTGCAGACCACTGATGGTACTACAAATGGCAATTTGTTTTACTCTTTAATTTCAATCTGAAAAAAAGAAAAGAAAGCATTGAAAATATCAAGCTAGGCCTTAATATTTGGTTTGGTCCCCACTAGACCATGCGGTTCCTGTCTGCCACGAACATGGTGGCAATTCTTCCTCCAGCCAGGTATTGGTAAAGTTAGCGGTTGGGTTTCTGCCTGACCAAGGACAGCCATGAGTGCAAGTAATCTAATCCAGCTTGGTTCTGTTTTAGGTATCATGACTCAGTGAAAGAGAAAGACTGCCTATACAGGAAATGGAATTGACTTTAAAAACCTGAGGTTTTTTTAAAGAAACCTTCTTCAGAATAAAAAAAAAAAATAATTTTTTTTTTTATTAAAGAGTTAATGCTATGGAAACATTTCACTGTTGTGGGGAAAAAAAAAAAAAGAAAGACTCAAACCAACAAAAAAAAACAAGTAGATTTATGTCTGCATCCAGAAGTGGTTTGACCTGCAGGGGTTTGTTTTTTTTAATAAAAAAAGGCAAAGAAATGTGCTGAAAAAAAGAAGTCATCCAAAGATTAGGGGATGAAAGGATGGCTGTAGTTCAGTGACAGCAGGCTTTGACTTGGAAAGTCAAGAAAAGCCCTGAAATAGGTGCAACAAAGGTTGGGGATATTGTAACAAAGTTTGCAGAGCAAAAATCAATTCTATATATGAGCATGAGGGATATGTGTGTATGTATGTGTGCAAAAGCCAGGGAAAGACAGAAAGCAGAGGGCTGATCTCTGATTTTCATCGTAAAACTGGAAGAGTGTAATAAAGCCTTAGTGTAACAAGATTTGCAGAACATTTCATAAGTTCCTCCATGTTTGATTTCTACACCTTTATCGATGCTTTTTGTAAGCACTTTCATACAATTGTCCTTCGACTCTGGAAAATAGCGGCAAAAGGGATCTGACTTGAGGATTTTCTACCAAGCTGTCATAAATGCCTGACAGGTCAATATGCCCTGTTTGTCTTTTACTGTTAAAAAATGCACAGCAGTCACCGAGTAATCTGACTGTGCCATCTATCATGTTACAGGCACACATTTCCTTTCAACAGCCTTTCTCCTTTCAGTCAGTATTTCCCTCCTTTTTTTCACCCTGGGAAGAAAGAGTACTCAGTTAACTCATCCATCATGTAAAAGAAGTGCAGGCTCCATTCCCTTCTTTCCCCGAGGAAGGCTCACTGTGTCTTGGGAGATGACACAGGTAACCATTTCACTTGTCACAGGGCACCTGCAAGTCTTGCACAAGATTTCACACCTAAGGAAAGATGTTTCCAGAATCCTAGTGTTGATAAGACCCTCTATCCTGGCACTATATCCCATTGAAGCTGCATGGTTACATACTGGTTTGTTTAGAAGGTTAGCTTAGCTGTCTGTTCAGGGTGCTGGGACCTTCTCTTGGCAAAAGAAGAAAATTTTGTGAATAAAATAACGGATATTTATTGCTTGCAATAACTATCCCCTTTGAAGTTTGACACATACAAACAGATGCACTTAAACATATAGTTTTTTTCATGGGGAAAAAAAAATCCACTGGTCAGACCCTTTTTCATTGTGCAAATGTTTTCATACATGTTCTTGGAAAGCAACAGATATTTTCAGCTTATCTGTTTCCCTGTCTTTAGTCTGAGCGTTTGTATTAGCAGCACTTTTAATGCCAACACAGCTCTGACAAAGTGAAAGATACTGTTAATATTGCTCCAGAAGTCCCAGTAAGGGAACAAAGCACCTGCATTCTCTGGCCAGGCCAGCAGAGACTTTTTGGTCAGTATTTTCCTTTTTAGTAAATATGTGAAAAAAGGCACTGTCCCAGAGAAAGTAGGATGGCTTTTAGGAAAATAAATTGGGCTTCTGGATGTGCGAATGGGTGTTAGAAACTATTTGTTTTTTGTATGATCTTAGAATAGAGAGAATGAAATTTCAAAGACCACGCATGGAGAGAGAAAGGCATGTAACGTCCATGATACTGCATGAATGACTTCTCTCCCAGCTTTGATTTTCAGGCATGGTGTCACTGATTGGGAAGCAATTAGGAGAAAGGTGACCTGATTTGTGAATAACATCCATGGAAATTCAGACCTCCAACCCACAACAAGGCCGGGGTCAGAGGGCTAGGGCCAGGGTTTTGCTGAGTTTCTGCTGAAGGCAATGAAAAACAGATTTCTAAATGCAGAATCCTCCTGCTGATGCTAACTTCCTTGGAGTCTCCTGAGGCAGTGGTTTAAGGACTGTTTGAATGCTTGACTGCAATAGCAGGAACCATGCTGCAGGTGACCATGTGCCTTACATGGGAAACTTCTGTGGAGAATGGGCCTTGACTGTGTTACACAGATATTGTTCCGTAATTTTCCCTTACAGATGGAGTCACTGACAGCAATCTAGAATGAGAAACTGATGTGAAAACATGTAGAAGACATGATGTAATTTCAAAGTTGGAAGATCAAGTACAGTTTATTTTGCAAGAGCCTGTATACAGCAATAAGGCTAAGACATTGGTAGCACTTCCATAACACATTTCCAAGGCTTTGTTCTTCAGCAGTACCTTGATGACTGGTGGTTAATATCTGATAGTGTCTTGTAGCAATAAGAAGCCAGTTTCCTATGATCCAGAACTAGAAGCAAACCAGAATACCATGATGCAACCTCCTTCCAATGCAGACTTTTCAAGCACATTGCAGAAACTCAGGCAACAAGTCTGGCAATGCTCCTTTTAAATACTATACAGCACTCTCCTTCATAAATGCATAAACTGAGGAACAGAGCAGATTTCATTGTCTGAAGCTGAAAAGCAAACTCATTTCTTGACACGGAAATGAACTGTCTCCAATCTCAAGTGTGTGAAGCTGCAAGAGCAGCCCCCAGGTGCTGCTGTTACTCCCTAAGGAGCACAGATTCCTGTATAGTTACAGCCGCTCATCCTTTTCCCCACCACAGACTCATTCTGAAGTTTCCGGATAGCTCCTTTATCATGAAGAAAAACACTGACTGTTTTGGCAGGAGATTCTAAAGGGATTTAGGGCCGTTCCCTACCTGATGGGAATTCCGTTGCGTGTCCATGTAATTTCTGGCTCAGGATATGACTCCACTACACAGACAAACTTAGCGACTTCCTCTACCAGGGCATCCACAGTTTCCAGAGGAGTGCTGATCAATGGAGCTGTGTGAACAAGGAGAAAATGAGAAAGCTTCCCAGTGCCTCCCAGAGAGAGGCACGAAGCCTGCCAGAACTCTTTGATGGAGGCACCCATGTCCTTGTAAGGTCATTTGGTGGCTTTTTCCACACCACAGAGGTGCTTTACACATCTTCTACATATTTGCTGTAACACAGGTCCCTCCACATTTGTAGCTGCAGCCTTCTGTTGTTTCCTGCAGGTTTTGCATTTACCCTGTGCTCTCTCTACAGGGTGCAAAACAGAGCATGGGGCAGCTCCAACAAGCCCAGTGTGTCCTTGGTTTCTAACCCTCCTCTCCCCTAAGGTACATAACACTGGATGGCATAATGCGAGGACATAGGTGAGGCTGTCCCCCTGCTATAGGGGTGGCACTGCATGGGCTGAAAGTGCAAGGAACAGCACACAAATAAAATCCAAGCTGACCTGCCCCTGCAGCTGGCACACTGCATCATTATTGGCTCGTAATGTATGAGATCTGGGGTTTGTTATTAATACGGTATTTTTTCCAATCAACTCAAATTTCTCTAAGAAAAACCAAAAACAAAAACAAAAAACAAAAAAACAAATCAAACCTATTATATAGCACTGTATTTTTCAAAGCCAGGCTTGTAAAGGCCCTTCACGTCTTCCTGAATTTTGGCACAAGTAGCAAACATTCTCTTTTTCTCACCTTTTCTAACCAAGTAGCACCAGGTTTAGAAGTCTAGTAGCTGTGTCTGATGCTTATAATCACAGACCTGCTGTTATACATTATTTGAATGTATCTTTAGAAACATTTTCCAATGCCCTAGTAAAAGACTTGAAGCACTGCTGGAAGGGATCAAAGGCTATGCCTAGTGAATCACTCTCCCTGCCTACGGTATGCATTGCAGCCATTGCCTCCAAAGACACTTGAATGACTTTTAATCTGTGGTTGCAAGGGACATATATCCAGTATTTGTTGGACTGGATTTCATCGACAGCTGTGCTGAGATGAACTAGTTTCATACCATGTTCCTGACACACCACCTTGAGCATGTACAGCAGATGCAGTAATCTTCCTGTTCCTCTCTGACTGTAGCAGTATCCAGCATGCTGTGTGTCTTTTCACAGCAAAATCCTGCCTGAAATGTATCTGCTGGCCCTCCACAGTACAGTAAGATTTAAAACTAGGCAAAAAATGAACTACATCAATCTTACCCCTCCCTCCCAAAAAAAAAAAAAAGGCAAGATGTTCCAATTTAAGTGACTGAGAATGATAGAAAGTCTTTACCTTAATGCTTTTTCAATTTACATGGGTGTAAAAATTACAATGTCATTGAGCTGGAATGCAGCTAGAGGAAGAAAGGATCATCTTTCACTACCAGGTTTATGTAAAAGGCCTAACGCTTTTGAAATTTCATTAGAATGAATCTGCTTCAATAATATTTGTAGATGATATGACTTCAGATTGCATAACTAGTAATGACTACACATATATAAAAGGATCTTAAAACTACAGCTAAGGTTGCACTAAAGATTATATTAACTTAACATTAGTTAAAACACATCTGTGTCAGATTCATCATTTAAGATCACTGCCTCAGACTGTATCACCCTTCAATTTATTGGCTCATTTTGGGTAACATCAGATAGAAGTCATTATCCATATTACACCCCAAGTGAACCCCATGCTAATGGAAGCAAGTGGGAGATTTTCATAAAGCCTAAATTTCCATGCTGCTGAAGGTTGTCTTGGGAGAATAACCTCCACTGATGGCTATCTTGTCTGCTTCAAAGAGGACATTGCTGTTTCGTGACAGAGTTTATTGGGTTTTGATGGCGTTAAGCCAGGAGTTTTACAATCTAATTTTATACGGTAAATTTTATTGCAGTTTTCCACATGCCTTGATCTCTGGAAGGATGCTTTTTTAACCCTGAGAAATGTAAATTTTTACAGTCACCAAAATTCCAAGCAACCAGTTTTACGACTATGCTGTCACAATAAGCATAGCACACAGAATAAAGTTAGATTTGTACCAACAGCTGGTATGCAGAATAACTATTTTTGGGGCAGGCAAGGGCTGTTAGTTTTATATATAAAATTAATTCTTTAACAACAGTTAAGTACTTTTATGACATTTACCTCTTTAATTCAGCAGATGACAGAATTGTCCTTAGCAGTAGTGCCTACACCGGCTCTGACTTAGCATCTCCTTAAAGCCAGCACACAGTTCTTACAGCAGAATCAAGCCCCATACCAACAGAAAATACTGTCCAAACCAACAGCACTTTACTTACGGTAAAAAATAGAAAGAGGACTTTTTTTTTTTAAAGCTGCCTTTCCAAATTCTGCATCAGAGAATCACACAGAATGGTGAGGGCTGGAAAGGAGCCCTGGAGGTCATCTAGTCCAACCCCTCTGCCAAGGCAGGGACACCTAGAGCAGGTTACACAGGAACGTATGCTCTGTTTTACCTTCCTGATATTACACAGGTGTGCTGGGCCAGCAGGGAGGTGAAGGCAGGATCCTGCTGCCAGCGTGAGGGGCAGACGGCACAAGGCCAGAGGACACATGGTGTGTCTGCAGGGGACAGTGAGCAGGGGAGGGTGACGCCATTTTGTCATGAGGCGATGAGAGAGCCCCAAAATGGCTGTGGTGGTGCTTGCTTCTAAAAGCCACCCAAGAAAGCTCAGGTGTTGGTGTCAGTCTGTGTTTACTCAGGAAAGCAGTGAAAACTTCTGGTGCCTTCATTGCCAGATTTTAACATGGGAAAATAAAAGCCAAACAATGCACAGACATATCTGTCAGCATATAGAAATGGCCCCGGGCCATTCTGTACACATCCACTGGAGGTCTCTGAAACATTTTAGGTAGTCCTGTGGCTTTAAATAACATTGAAAATCAATTAGCTTCGGTATCTGTAAAACCCCACAGGTGCCATTTTTCCGGATGTCAGCTGTAGTTTCCCAAGATAGCAAAATGACCCAAGCTGGTCACCGGGCCTGCAAGAAATTGCCCTCCTACTCCCAGCCCACCAGAATCTTCCAGATTGGTTGGCTTTGGGTTTGGATTCACACTTTTGAAACAAGACAAGCTGAGCAAACAAAGCAAAGAGTAAAACAGGGACAGTCTCCCCTGCGGTGCTGCAGGCACCAGGAGATGTTGCTGTTCCTCTCGTCGAAAACTGCTAATCGTGCTTCCAGCTAATGCCTCAAAACCTTTACAGAGCACTGCTAGGTTGCAGTCACGTTTCAGCCTCTCTCAGGTAACAAGCCAATTTGGCTACCCAGGATGTTTCAGAAAAGGATGCGCATCTCTTCATTGCACTGTTCCACCAGAAAAAAATCAAACCCCTTCCTCTTTGTTTTTCTTGTCTCTCCCATCCCATTTTACCACTGATTTCAAAAAGACCAAGGTTCACCAACTTACTTTAGTGCTTTAGGAAAAAAAAATAAATAATTTCAAAAGCTTTTATAAAGGAGACTTTTTCAAAAAAAAAAACATTTTGAGTCCAACCTGACTAACCTGACTAACAATTGTAAGAGCACAGGCCTGCAGGATCAGCCGTGTTGGCCTAACACATCCTTGAAGGTTTTTCTTTGTTTTGCTGAAGCTACAAAGTTTCCAGTATGCTTCAAATGGTTCCTGACAACCACCATGCAGCAGAGCCATTTGTCCGCTGGGGTACCAGACAGTATGTCCAGAAGAACGCTGTTGCGCTTTGTACCTCAAAGACTTTTCTAAACAAACTTTTCTCAGTTCTTGAGTTGGCTAAAAGTATGTGTGCATGTGTCTGTATATGTACACACAAGAGAGGAAGAAGGTATCATAACTTTTATGTTATATGCAATACAAACCTGCATATTTTTATTTATATATATATATATACACACTCTGTAAAAATGTCATAGCTATTTACTTCTCTTTTGAGCTTTATATATTTATAAGCATACACAGGCATTCAGAATGCGACAAATCTTAGGTTCTGCAGCAATGGGTGCTACCAGCCATTAAAACCTGTAAGCTTCATCTGACATGAGAAATGTCCATCCCACCCAGCCTGAACCCAAAGGCCTCCCCTTCCCATTCTAACAGAACTATGTGCTCTTCCTAGAAAAGAACCTCTGATCCCATACACGAGATCATTTTCACTGCTATCCTTCTAAAAGCAGTGAAGTGACCAGCAAAAGCAGCACATTTCTGTCCTTTTCAGGAGCGCTCCTGTGCCACCCAGCCAACTGTTACCAGAGATGCCTTCCTCTTTTCAAAACCTCCTTCAGCAAGTGGCAGAAGCAGAGCAGGGCAAAACCCCTCCAAGCAAACCTTTCAGGAGTGTTTCGGCCAAGCTGAGGGATGCCAGCATGAGGACGTGCACCAGGGGCACCTTCAGCAGGTCATTCATGTTTGATCCAGAAGGCTCCTTCAAGCAAGGCATTCAGCATTCCCGGATGGCTGCATTTCAGACTGCGGTGCACAAGCAGACCTTCTCTGCTAATGACAGAGCAGGGTCTGTGGGATCTAAGTATAATCAGGAATTCTCCCACCCGGCAGTGGTGACAGACATAGCCAGCTGGTGCGTATCCACTTCGGTCAGCGTGAAAGCGTGGGGCTTGTGAAACAAGAGAAAGCAAATCCCTTCTGAATTCCTTCTAAGCAAACAGAGAGGAGTACAATAGGCAAATGCATTTCCAGGGAAGTACCCTACACTAGCACTGGAAAGTCACCAGGCCTTTATTTCAGCATTGTGTAACTGCAGTTGTGGAAAAAATGCTTGCCACTGGATTTCCCTTCACCTTAGTCCCCCTCTTTCTCATTTTTTATCCTCTATCTCACATGTACTCCCTCTGTCTTATTATAACCTTTCATGATTGGCTGCAATATGCCACCTGTTGCCCCGCTGATAGCATTTCTTTTCTTAACAAATGTATTTGCTGGAGCACAAGATGTTGGCGTTGAGGGCTGAAAATGCCCTTCTTTGCTAAAGTGGTTGGTGGTGTTTGAGGGCCATCACATCACACTGAAAAAGCAGAGCCTTGTCCTGGAAACAGACCAAAAAATGATGATGTCCTGGGAACATGACTCCAGTTACTTTACATCATGTTATCAGTAGAGCAGATGTGAGCTTTGTACCAAAAGACATAGTTTGAGGAAAAGGAATATGCAGTCATAACATATCACAGTAAAAGATACTTTGAGATCTCTGGAATTTCTTTCATTTGCTGAACCTCTCAGTTTCGACCACTTTTTTACAGTTAGTTCTGCAATGAATATGCACAGTTCAGCAATGCTTCCTCTAAGGAGTAAATGGATTAAAGCTGGCCAGAGCTATGCATGTTTGAATCCCAGTGGTTTGGCATGCCATGATAATGCCAATGTTACTTTGAGGATATGCAACAACTTATTAGGAGCAAAGATCCTTAGACAAGTGCTCCTCTGAAGATGAATAAAAGCAGAAGCACTTGACGAATATGTGTTAAAGATCTTCTAGGAATTCTGGATCTAACAAAAACAACAAAGACAACAATAAAACAATAGTAATCCTAGGAGGAAACAGAGAAATCCTGACTTATGGCAGAACTTACAAATAGATCTTTTGGTTTGATCAGACCAATTGCATCCAATTAATCTGCTCCATAGAAATACAACTTGGTCCTTTAGAGTAAAGTTGTCTCAATGGAAAGACTTTACCAAAGACTTCTACATCACTGGATTTCTGTCAGGGCTGTGTTAGGAGGACTTTGAAACTGATCCAGACAAGTACAAAAATTAATCTTTCTCTTTTACTTGCCAATTACAGCATCTGGAAATGATACTGACAGTGACAGCTGTTGAATGTTAATACTGCCTTTGTATTTTTAGGATTACCAAAGTATCCCTAGCCTCTCACTTCCTCTATTTTATTAAGGACTACAGTGAGCTCCACTGCTCTAATCTAAAAGGATGTAAATTTACATTTTAAGTGGAAGTAGAGAGCATACACAGGCACAAGGTGGAGTTACTTTGTTATCCAGCTACGCATGACATACAGCTAAAAAACAATATATACAGGAAGCTGGTGATCCTCTGTATCCTTCACGGAGACATATTTCTGCATAGAGTGAAATCAGGGAAATGAAATACCAGTGACACCAAATTTTCTTTGATTCCAAGCATTTTCCTGGCTTACCTTATGAAAGCAATATTTACTTTATTTTATTTTATATACTCCTTTAATTTTCACTCCCAGTATTTAGGAGTTTTCTGTTTGTTGATTTATAGCTAATTATTGTTTACAGCTTTTGTTATTTGCTGTCATGACCCAAGTACTCTGCTGAGATGAGGTCCCAGCAGCCTACACAAGTAACAAGAAGCAGTCCACAGCTTTCAGGCACTGCAGGCAGTTCATGCAGTTCAGTGGACGAAGTCAGTTCATGAAGTTCAGTGCACAAAGTGTGCTGTACCATTCCTTCACCTGGCTAAATTTTTTCCCTTTGCAAATTGTTTGCAGAGTGACTGTTAATACATACAGTATTTTTTAATAAAAGCATAACTACAAAGAAAGTCCAAATTTCTAAGACTTTGCTGAATAGTTCAGGTAACTGTCTTCCAGTTGATTAATTGTCTGCACATCTCTTCTCTCCCTCCTTCTCCCAACTGCTCTGCTGGAGGCTGACAGTTTTACACGCTAATGCAACATGATTTGATCATTGGATACTTCGAAAATTGCATTTTCCCCCATATCAGCATCTGGGATGTCTTCTCCGTAGATAGTACCAGATGTTCATCCAAGTAGACAGGCTAAAGCAGGTATTTCCAGCAGAAAGTGTCCAGCCACAGAACAAACTCCTTCTACGGAGGCGCCCAATGAAGTTGCTTTCACAATGGCCCAGTCACCCATGTGATTCACACAGGAATATCCAAGTCAGCACTAACCCAGCCTGACCAGTGTGCATTTTAATGCAATGTCATCATTGTCGGTGCTGGCAACCTACCTGAGTAAATACATCAGCCACTGGTCTTCAGCTCTGGTGCTGCCAGTTCTGCAGTCACACTTCTGAGTGCAATATAGACATAGTCTTTGAAGCCTAAGATCATATCTGAGGCCTTACACAACAGGCCAGACTATTTTTACTTGCTTTTCAGCAGCAACAAGAATCTGCAAAAATGACTAGGTCACTACTATTGAGTTCAATTTGTATATGTAACAATCAAGCCAGAAGAAGAGCAAGCCCTAACCTGGCAAGGTAACAGACGAGTACAGACCAAAACACAAGTGATCTTCAGACCCCAAGCTCCCATGTCATGGCTTCAAGCCTCTTCCAGTCAGCACAGAATACAGAAGGACATATATTGTGGGGTCTTTCCCTGAGATGCACGCATACACATCTGTGCATGTACTACCCTGTGCCGGGTGCTCCATTGCTGCTTGCCTCTTCAGAGCTTTTGCACTCTCAGATACAGGGCATCTTCACAAAACATTTGATGGTGAAACTCATCTGATGACCTGGCCCTGCACAGAAATGAATCAAGGTCACATAGCCACAGGGTTATGGGCGCACCAGTCCTCCCAGGTCCACCCTGCCCACATTGTCAGCTGTATCTAAATGCAGCACACACACAGTCCTGGGTGTATGGCATGGAAAGGTCATCTCTGACAATGCATGTCAGCATTTGGGGAGGGGGTAAATAGTGGTTTAGCTCTGTTGCTTCACATTACAACTTGCTTCTTTACAGTGATCCTGAGTGGAAGCAGCTTCCAGCCACCAGCTCCAAAGGATTTAACCTAACCTGCTACGCATATATGACCAGTAAGTTATTGTTCCTTGTTCCAGTAATAGCAAATGATGTATTCAGTGTAACAAGTGAGGGAATAAGCTATGCTGCTGTGGCTCTTTACCCTCCACTTGTGGGTTGTGGGTTTGTTTTGAGTTTTGTTTTTTTTTTTTTTGTTTGGGGTATGATTTTTTAATTGTCAAAATTAATTAAGACTATTCTCTAAACACAGAACCATCCCGAAGACCCACTTACTGTCTTTAAGTTGCAGGGTTTCAGGTGCATTTGGCTTGGCCTCTGCCCTCAGCTGTCTGGACCAAACTCTCACCTCCTACTGATATTTCAACACTGGCTGAGCTCTGATGCCTGAATCTAAAATAGTCCCCTTATCTTCATTCGTGGGTATTGGCAAACCTAAGATTTGCATTAATTTCTCGATATCTTATTGCTATAAACTTTCCTGTAATTTTTGATCTCAGAGGATCTAACAGTACTGACTAGGGCCCCTATTTCACCTCCCTGCCCACAGCAGCCAGCCCCACAGCATAACACAGGGAAAGCTCACACCCTCAATAACCCTTTCCTCCCTGCAAACATAATGCTGTCCCTGAGCTGAGCAGGGGGAGTCAGAGATACCCATGTTTCACCAAACAGGGATGCCACAGACAAGCACAGCCCTCGTTCCCCAGCCTTCATCCTTTGGCTGCCACCAGCAGAGTGCAGTCTGGAGGGCCAGGGTGATTGTCGATGGACAAAACCTGCTCTCTATTACACAGTACCACGATCCAGCAAAAAACAAGACCTGCATTTATAATAAAGCAGTTGTAGCGGAGCCCTGAGTCGAACTGCAGGGAAGCAGGAGAAGGAGGGACTCAGCCATGAGGACCACGTGAAAGGGAACATCTCACTGCAGAAATGAGGAGGTGCTTCAGGACAAGAATACATTAGGGATATAACATATCCCATTTACTTCAATCCCAGAATACTGCATCTTATAAAATCTCACTCTCACTAAGAATTACATTCAACCTCAGCTTGATCTGATGGTAATATTAGCAACTACTGCATAAATACAGACACTATGAAATAGAATGTGTCTATGGTGTATCAGAATTCCTGTAAGAAATGTTTTAATTATTGTCAGCAAATCTCTAAAGCAATCAAAACTAGAACCAAGGAAAAGCACTATGAAATAAATCTATGTACTGTCATGCCTCATGTCAGATTGGAAAATGTCTGATTTGTAAGTTTTGTCTGTCACTATTTGTTGTCCTTGATTGCCATTTCAGAGCGTGGAAGAGCAAAAGCCAAAAAGCAGGAGTTTAGAGATGTGCCACAAAGCAAACAACCCATTCAATTTCAAACCTACAGCCTCTAGCAAAACTGGCTTTGATTGGAAAACTGGCCCTTTACAGCATAGAAATTAGCTTTCCTAAGTGATATGTATTCATAGGCCTGTAAATACCTTTCTCACCCACCACTATGGCAGCTCTGAAATATTGCAGCTTCTCTCTGGAGTCAAACTGGATCTGGGAGGTGTTACATATGGGCATGATATGAGGAAACATTCAAGTTTCAGAAATACCTGTACCCATGCAATAATATGTTTTCCAATGGAACAGGACACCTGAAATGGAGCTGTTGTGTTCTGACAGCTGATGGCAGGTTACCACAGCCAGTTGCAGGAGGTGTGCAACACACAAGTCCCAAGGGCATCCTATACCCTTTAATTTTACTGAATAGTGCACAGCATGCTGCAACATGTGAAACAGCTCCATGAGCTTCTTCTGGATGAGATAGCTTTTTTCCTACTACTGTGATAGCAAGAAGAACTTTGCAGCATGTGTAGCCCAGGAGCAACTGGTGACATTTTTAGACACTGTACCATATGCTGAAAAACATCTGGGTGGGCTTCAGCTACATGCATTAAAAACAAGGAACTAAATTCCACTCTAAGTTAACCCCAGGCAACCCCACTGACGTCAATGGAGCGTAACTGAGAGCAGGAGGTTGCCTGTGATCTTTATTTCTTAGAGTTCACCTGCTGCCCATTTGAAGTCATAATCCTTGGTGACAACCCAGTCATTTCTATGGGAGAGAGGCTTGCACTGCAGAGATCAGGTCCTGGTGTGAACTTCACTCGAAGCAGCATTCTTGTCTATAGTGTTTTGAACCATCCCAATAGCTACCTACTACAGCAGTCTCATTGGCTTCTATTTGAACACTGCTGCCTATTATTTGGAAGCACCACAATAAGTATAGCAATACATACAGGTAT